TCTAGCGAAATAAATAAGACTTCACCAAGTATTTGAACAAGGCAGTTAAAGATGACTTCCAAAGAGGTATATAGCTCATTCCACAACTTTGCAGCAACCGATAGGGCGATGGGGAGATGACAATCGTCCGCCAAATTAGATTTTCGAACCGATGATTGTTTCAAAATTTGGTTTACGTTTATTTGATTAAATTCAGTGTGTACACAGAAAAGAGACGCCCTCCTCTTTCGAAACAGTAGTAATTAAGCAGGGGAAAGGTCTAATAGTATCATTTGGACGGTTCTTCAGATGCATTTTCACAGCACACAGTCTCATGGCAAAGTAGTTCCTTAATATTTCATCAGCTTCCCTTCAAACAGGACTACATGAAAATCTACATCTTCCTCTGAATCATCACTAAACAAATTGAAGTATAAATATCAACAATTTAGCAGGAAGCTAAATAAAAGAAAACGACATTTCTACTAAAATCAGTCCCAAAGTTGAAAGCGGTAGGCCTTTATCGTGGAAATGGACAATGAACTTGCCGTGCAGAGCGTAGTATACAGTAGGCCTATATTTTGACAGTAACGTCAACGAAATATAGAGACACAATGCTTGAATGCATTTATGGGACAAAGTTTGTGAACTTTTAGTTGTGCAGTATCGGCTTTGTCATTCCCAATGAAAGGCTCCTTATATTTCAAAAGGATATACATTGACTGATTTGTAAAATATATTATTCACTAGATTTATCGGAGTTTTTTTGATTGAAATTTGCTACCACGACCCTCGCTTTGTCATGTACGTTCGTCGGCCTGTATCTCCTATATAGATACATATGAATGATTTCTTTTAAAATACGTTCAATGCTGGGTCAGTCATTGATTTTAGGCATATTTTGAGAGCTGAATTATGAGATTATTTCATTGCAATGTTCTATGATTTAAATAGGTGACGGGATGGGCAATGCTATTGTTTATATGAAATATACATGTACATATTCCTAATGGGAAAGAGAAGAAGAAGAAGAGAAGAAGAAGAGGAAGGCAGAAGAGAAGATGGAGAGATGATCTAACATCAAACATGGGAACGGCCGCTTGGACTAGGACAGCTAGAGACAGAAGAGAATGGAAATTTTATGAGGAGGGCTTTGTCCAACGTCTGGATGAACTATAGCCTGATAGATAGATAGATATGCCTATCTAAAGGTTTAGGGTGTAATTTCCTGTTTTCCGTTTAGTGTAAAATGATAAGGTAAAAGTGTAATCAGCCGCCTACTACTACTACTTCTACTACTACTGTTGTTGTAGTCTAGCCGAAAGCTCGAAATAAACTTGTAAAGTACAGCTACGTCTCACGTTCCTAGACCTTTTTCTTCACGCCTATATATATATATATATATATATATGTATGTATATATATATATATATGTATGTATATATATATATATATATATATATATATATATATAATTTGTGGTGGTGGGGTGGGGGCGCTTTGTCAGAACGCAGAACATCAATTCGGCCATACACATAAGAAGGGGATGGGTTGTAATTTAATACACATGCAGAATAGTCGTACTACCACTTGAGCCATAATGCATAGCCGCCAAGAAGATTTGTTTATGTTGGGGACCGAGGTAAAGTGCAATCAAGTATTCAACATTTATTGCATTTTCTGTTTTTTATTTTATTTATGGAAACTGCCCCCTACCCTAGCCCCCACTGCGTACAGTCATGGTTCAGTTACAAAGCAATGGCCTCGTAACTGTGAGGCCCCGTGTCGATGTGCTATATTAGTGCCCTTTTGTGGGGCATTAATCCTCATTACTTGACATCTATGACTTAAGGGCGTAGGTCCCCTAGTTGATAAGCATAGTAACATACACATGCTATAGCATTCACGCAAAACGCACATTGTCAAAATATTATTAAATAAAATCTGAGAATGTATACTATTATCTAGATCTATTATTTTTAAATTATTTTTAAATAATTCGATAAATTGGGGTAAAACAAAAATATTCCAACTTTATGAGCAAGAGTGTACGTACAATGACGACAACTGGCATGTAAAATAGACGAATTACAGTCTAATCTGCTTTAGTGACCAAAGGCCACAATTGTTGTTTCCCTTGGAAATGTTTTCTCATTGAATCATGTACTAAAGTAACCTGTATATAAAGACTACCTGTCTACACATGCCACTTTTTGTGTTTCCCTTGGACGCTCGCTATCGAAAGGTTTGACTGTATGAACACATGACTCTTCTACCACAAATTGTTAATATCAATACAATAACAATTGAATAAACTGTTTTATCATTTAACCCTTTGCCTACTGCAACCGGGTGGTCCCTGTATTAAGCCTATGGGAACTACACCATTCAGACGTCGACGGGTTGAAAAACAATCATCAATATAACTTGGCCTTCCTGACCGACTAACCCAACTAAAAAGTTTTGACAAGAACAACAACAGCTGTTAGATTTAGCCGTTTACCTTGTCCAGAATATGACCTATTTATTTTGATCTCTACCACACCAACGCTATACCTCCCTCTACTATACTTACTTGCTACCAGTCGATGATGGCGTGATCATTAAATAAGGGCGCAGGCTGCGCATAATTTTTTTTTTTACACAACTGTTTAACCATTTTCGCGAGAAAAAAAATCCAAGAAGTGCTCTGGTGAAAGAGTCTAAGTCGTCAGTGCACTATATATGTGCAAGCACGTACATACAGGGAGGGAAGATGATAGAAAAGGGGGAAAACAAGGATAGTGGAGAGGATATGGAGAAGGAAAAAAAGGAAATACATAAGGAAAGAGAAGAGGATAAGTCAAAGGAGGAACATAGAAATATATAATTGAAGAGCTAAGCGAATCATAGATCCAGACTAAGGAAAAACAGGGAAATACATAAAGAAGGAGAAAGGGAATCTATCAGATTAAAACAAAGAAATAGATCGATGAAGAAGGAGAAAAGGATAGATTGAAGGAGAAACAAAGAAATACATAAAACAAAGAGAAGAGGTTAGAATAAAGGAGAATAAAAGAAATACATCAATAACGAAGGAGAACTGGGGGACTAGTTGAAGGACTCAGAAATATATAACAAAGGAGAAAAAGGATAGATTGAAGAAAAAAGAAAGAAATACATGACAAAAGAGAAGAGGATAGATTGAAGGAGAACACAGAAATACATAATGAAAGAGAAGAGAGGATAGATTTAACCCGAAACAAATCGCCGCTGTTTTCACGAAGTGAAAAAAAATTGCATTCACTTTGCGTTACGATTTTCCTCACTACCGTCACTTCGTGAAAACAAGGACGAAATAACGAGTATGTACACATGTACAGCTCCAGCAATCCAACAAAACTGCTTAGGGTAATGCTAGACTTTGTCTCTAGTCGTTTGCACAGTATATTTGACTGATGTGGCTAAACAGTTGTGTAAACAAAATATACGCCGCCAGCGCAGGCTGGTGAGCATAATTAGGAGTTTGTTGATAACGCCATCTTCGGCGGCTTGAATCAAGTGTTTGGGGGAATTATAGAGGACTGGGCAGAATCTGGACTCCCGTTCACCTAGCTGTCTTATCAATTCATTCTCCCAGAAATATGCGAGAGAAAAAAACATCAAAGTCTTGGAAGTCATTTTAGATGAAATACCTGGAAATTGTTTTTAAATGAACAACTGATGAAGTGATATGAAGAAACATCATATTTAGGATAATGACATCAACAATATTCTAAATAATTATTATTCTTTTATAACTGCCATTTCTAATACATGTACATCATTCTTCACAATAAAATCACAAAACAACAATTCTCATCTACCGCAAAGGTAAACAATGAATCAACCTTTGGAAAGAAATATACTTCTAATAATAACTCATACATCTATAAGTGAGCAACCATACACAATAATACAATACTATATCAACAGTCGTATAAAGATGGTGCCTAGCTACTTAAAACCCTTTATGAAATACATGTTTATTAATTTCCTTACAGTTCTTGACACAAAACATTTTACTTTTTCCTATGTAATTTTATCAAATTACGTTTAAAAGCAATAATTCTCTCAGTTTTTTTCAATTTGTTCTTAACTAAGTTTTAAATGAGCAAATATAGGTCTTATACTTCTAGATTTGGATATGTTTATACATAATACTTCTCAAAAGAAATTTACAATGAATATTGATATTACAGATAATGATTAGGAAAATGTACATATCTTACCTTTAATATCGACTTGTGAAATTAAAAGAAGAAATTTCAAGTGGAGAATTAACTATTTATATATTACAGGAAATGACATTGGGGTACTCAGAACTATGTACTTTTTGTGAAAAGTTCCCTGAAACAATGGAACATATGTTGGAGTAGTGTGAGCATGTAAGGCCACAATGGTCAGAGTTTCAAGCCTGTTAGAAATATATTACCAGTACTTATATAACTTTCATTTTTGTGCCTTTATTATTGAGATACAAACGAAATGACACGAATTTGTTTTACAACCTTTGTTTAATCTTAATGTAAAATATATGTATATCATAACAACTACAGGAACTATAAACATCCACATCCACATCGTGTAGATGTTTTAAACATTTATTAAAGTTTAATTTTCATATTGAAAAGCAAGTGACTTTGAAGAATAATTCAACGAGCAAATTGTTTTTTAATTGGCGGGTAGTAAATGTGTTTTAGAAGATTAATATACAATGTAAGTGTTACGACATTTATTTTTTTATTTTTCTATGTATATTTTTTTGTTCTTCTTTCATTTTCGTGGGATAATCAAACTATGTTTTTCTGTTTCTGTTTTGGTTAAATAATGTATTTAATTATACCTCGAAGCGAAGCGGTGAATATAAAACATCCTCATGGGAGGTTAGAATTAAAAGATATATATATATATATTAACGGGCACCTCCCTGAAACATTTCAAAAGAGCGGTCTGCCCCATCCCAATAGCCCTCAGTGGTCGAAATGAAAGCTGACATCTTGTCATCGTCGTCTCTTGATGAGGACCGCTACGATGAAGATATGAACGACCATGGCGGCGTGGATGAAGCCGATGATGATAAACACCTTCGTGAACGAATGGATGACATCAAACACATAACCTGGGAAATGAACATAACATATTTGAAAGTATTTATCAGGGATTTGCAATGTTAAATGGCAAAGCATACTTAGGTACAGTTTCGATCATAACCTATATTTGCAAGTAAAATTGCGGCATGAAAACAAATCGATCAACGTTCACGCAGCAGATATAATATACCGTACACTTTTGACACTGTATATATAATTATTGCTTCACTTTATTATAACTTAAATTTAAAAGTGTTATATTTGGTCGCAAAACGTATAGGTTCGAATGGTAGGTCTAATAACACTGCTTTGAACAAAAGATGACATCCTAATAATCGACAAATTACAAATTTAAAATCCATTTCCTCATAGAAGTATCATAATAAGCCTATACATTATCTTTTTATATCGGGAAAGCTGCAGTTGGTATCTAAGTCAGATTATACAACAATGATCAGTTTATTAATCAAAAAACCTGTTTATTTGTTTCCATGCTCATCATCATAACTGTTTTGTTTTTCCTTCCGCTAGAAAATATATATTAGCCAAACAAAATAACGAACATAACATAATTCCTAAACATGTACAAGAAAGATTAATGCAGGATGGCATGATGGATTAGAAAAAAGAGGATAGAGAAAGAGAGATGTGGGGAGCTGTGAGAAGGAATGTCAGAGGAAAAGGGAGAGGACAAATAGAAAGGGTTGGGGAAGTTGAGTGGAAGAAGGGGCGTAGTAGATTCGATGGGGAAGGTAAAGCGAACGATGGGAAAGCGGATTATATTAAGGTTAAAGAAGGGAAGACAGAGAAGGGGGTGGGATCTTATAAAGGCAGTAGCGGAGAAGGGATGAAAAGGGAGGGGCATAGAGGAAGGGGATTAAGAAGAAATAAGAATGAGAGATGGGGGTGATTGCTATTGGTAACACGAGTTGTAAAAATGAAGACAAAATACAGTCTGGATTAGAAAAAAACTGACTAACCATAGTCCTGTCCATACAAAAGTTGTAGCGCGATGCAATGGGCCAGATGACCTTTTATCAGTCAATAACTCGAAGAAAATCATGATGGTGATACATAATAAGTGAGTTTCACTATGAATATGACTGACAAAGAAAGTGGACTAAATAAACAGTTCCTCAGGTAGACAAAGGAACATCCCTTCACTGCTATTATGTAAAAATGTGAAGAACAGGTGAATATGCATGTGGCACCTGTTCTACACATTTGTACATAATAGCAGTGAAGGGATGTTCCTTTGTCTACCTGAGGAACTGTATATTTTGTCCGCTTTCTTTGTCAGTCATATTCATATTGTTTACAGATGGCACATGGTACAAATGACCCAAAAATATCCATAGACACGATGGATACTTCCCACCTGTGCATTTTATAATAATCACTGCCAAAGTGATGGACACTATGAATATGATGGACAAAGAAAGCGGACAAAATATACAGTTCCTCAGGTAGACAAAGGAACATCCCTTCACTGCTATTATGTACAAATGTGTAGAACAGGTGTCACATGCATATTCACCTGTTCTTCACATTTTGTTTACCTCTTGAGAAGAATACTTGTGTATCAGATAAATGTACTGTTGGTGCATAAATGAATACTGATTACATAACTTTCATGAGCACGATCCGAGTATTCGTCTCAATGGTTTTACAATTTAGTAACGAATGACCTTTATCTGCAATTGCGCAAATCCTAATTACGAACTCGCTTATTGTAATGGGCTATTGTCCATATGTTGATTTCACAAATGTTCTTGAGATCGTGTTTCAAATGAAAGATTGGGCTATAAATTACGAACCTGTGAACGTTCCTGCAGATGTCACCCCTAATCCTCCCATGAAATTACAGAGAGCCTGGGCCATATTAAAATTCCTTTCGTCAAAGACTGCATCCTTGCACAGACTGGACATGATAGCATCATCGACGAAGAAGGAGAACCCTTGGACAAAAGCGAAGGTAGCACGCACCACATAAGCAGAACTGATGGAGTCTAACAGAAATGATCCCGTGCAGATCACACCTAAAGCGATGTACAAGACAAATGCATTGATGCCTTTGCTGACGAGGATAATGAAGATGGTCTGTCCGATGATGCCACCTATGCCGCCGATTGTGGAGAGGAAGATTGCTTTGGAAGGAGGAATGTTCAAGTGTTCAGCATGGGGCACTAGAAATAGCATCCATGCATAAATGGTGTAATATACCAAGAAAGGATTCGGGAGAGCAAAGAGAAAAAGTGGTTCGTTGATTAATCCACAAGACTGTTTGCAGGTTTGAAAGACGGAACTTGTCCATGATGAGCGTGTATTTTGTAATGTTTCCTGCATGCTTATGCTACGTCTTTCGGTTGGAATCAAACTTCGTTGCTCCGAAACGCAATCTTCACTTTCCTCCTTCTCCTCGTTCTCTTTCTTCGCATTATGTTCCTCCTCTTCTTCCTCTTTATTATCCTCATCTTCATAGTGGATGCCTTCTATTTGCTCTGATGATTCTTGATTCACTTTATCGTGACTTTCACCTTCATTGGTAGCGGCGTTGGATGGTGCGTTTCGTATCGTTGCACCGCACACGACAAGGTTAAGAGCGATACCTCCAAGGATAACAAACGCCCCTGCATAGCCATACGCTTCGAATGACCTTTCCATGATAACAGGGAGTACCATGGACCCGGCGATGAAGCCGTATGACGCTATTGTATTCACCGAAACGAATTGTCCTTTGAAGAAATCATTCAATGCAATGACGACGGGCATGTAGGTCATTGACAAGCCAACACCTGCCAACAAAAATGTAATGATGAGAATAACAAAGCATTAGGCCTACTACTTATGATAATGTTACTACTAATTGTAGGTTGAGCGTCCTCGCAATGATTTGAAAATTATTATCCAATAAGGGAGTTCAAAGATAGGAAATGGTACAAATGACGCCAAATATCCACAGATCTATACACATGGAGAAGTTCCACTTTGAGCATATTAGAATAATAACTGCCAAAGTCCTAGACACTATGAATATAACGGACAAAGAAAGCGGACAAATTATACAGTTCCTCAGGTAGACAAAGGAACATCCCGTCACTGCTATTATGTAAAAAGATGAATATGCATGTGACACCTGTTCTACAAATTTTTACATAATAGCAGTGAAGGGATGTTCCTTTGTCTACCTGAGGAACTGTATATTTTGTCCGCTTTCTTTGTCAGTCATATTCATAGTGAGATGTGCTTCATGAATACCTTTTGTTTGCCCTCTTGAAAAGAATACTTCCACTAACGTATCATAGAATGTACCGTTGGTGCATAAATGAATAATGTTACAAAACTTTCATGAGCGCATATCCAGTATTCATCTCTGTGGGTTTTACCTCTTTGGTACAAATGACCTTTATCTGCCCATGTGCAGATTGTATCTGTAAACTCCCTTATTCAATTATTCTCCAATATCTTTGGGAGTGCCTAGGTAGACAAGTTTGTTTTTTCCAACGGCTGGACGACCTCTAGCACGTTTTCCCTTGTAGCCTACCATTTTTTGAATTAATTGACCCTTGGGGGTGTTTCACAAAGATCTTAAGTCAAACTTTACTCTAGGTTGGAATTAAACATTATAGAGGCTATTTGTAGCCTTATAATAAAGTTTATTCAAAAGTATATAAAAGTATTATAAAGTATTTTAGACTTTTCATAAATTCCACATCAAGAACATAACATCTCAATCATAATCGAAAATATGAATGATTTGAATCATGCCTTTTAGAATAACTTAAAAAAAAAATGTATTTTCAAGGATGCTAACGGCTTTCCATAATAGTTAAGTCCAACTTAGAGATAAGTTAAACTTAGAATCTTTGTGAAACACCCCTCCCCCTAGTTCTTCTGGCAATGACAGCTGAAAAGAGGCGGCGTTCTCTGTCTGACTTGGATTGGTATACTATCTCTCTACAACTGTATATATTTGTCTTATGGTCTGTCCAGTTGACATTCAATGCTGCTCCCGAGAGTTTTGTCTTGCAAATAATACAACTACATCAACTACTACCAATAATACTAATACTACTTACTTACTGCATATGTACTACTAATAGTACTAATACTAATAATACTAATATAGATAATATCTAAAACAATAATAGTGGTGATAACATTTATCATGATAAGATCAGATATGGACTATATATGTTTTGACAAAAAAAAATTTGCTGGTGACTATTGCGTTTCCGACAAAAATTTTATTTTTCTTCTTTTTTCCCTGAGTCATCGTGTCGTGCTTAAAGGTAAAGACCAGTATTGGAAACGCCCCAGTTTCAAAAAATGAAATGGAAGCTCTCATTACCAATCATGTGAAAGAATATGTTTTGACTAATACATGATGATAAAAAAATTGCCGGGAAACCGCCTACTAATTCATATATTTGGTAAATTTGTTTCTCTCATGGTCTGTGAGAGATATAGGGTAGTCCCATATACATCTTTCTGTGTATAGTGCTTGTAACTTTACGAAGAATGGGCCAAATTTCTTATCATTTTGATGATTCCAGAACCTTGCAGATGCTAGATGCTAGATGATCAACCTTTTCTGATCGATTCCACAACGTTTCTTTCACAATGCAATCGCATGACCATAACTGGTCTTTACCTTTAAGAGAGTTCAGCCAACTCGGTTCGAGTTGATCACAATATGGCAAATTCTACTTTTATTGGGCAACCACAAGACAAAAGGATGGACGCCATGTTGAGCCCAAGTGAAACTGTTTGAATGTTGAATGCTGTTTGAACTATGTACACCTACCAGCATGTAGGTACAGACTCACGGAATGAGCAGTAGAATTAAATAATCAATTACAAAGGTAAGCAACAAGATATTTAGCTAACCCGATAAAGCGAGACAAACTCCTACAGCAACTGCGTCGTTGCAGAAAGCACAGGCAATAATACATGATCCACACAACAATCCACCTGACATAGCAACAACACGATGGTTGGTCCCCGGCAGAACGAGTGTTACAAATGGACCTAAGATATTGACAAACAATGAAAAAAAGACATTAAAATTAAAGAATAAAACACATGAGATAGGGGATTGTGTGTAACGTAAACACTTATCTGAAGCCTTCAAGAAATTTCCCCATCATCTTAATGTCAGAATTATACTAAAAAAGAAAATACGATTAAAACAGATTGCTGCCCGAATATGAGGAGACCCCCCACCGAGCTGTACGATTGATGATGATCATGATGATGATGTCTTTAATTTCTCCTAATATTTAGTAATTTCCAGTGGCAAGATATCAATCAACATTTGCCAGTTAATTGCCACTAATTATCAAAGTAAAGTTAGTGGGTGCCATGTAGTCATCGAATTACAAAAATACAATCCTAAATCATTAAAACAGGCCCACTGGTTATGCACAAAAAAGAACAGCAACAACAATAACTACTACTAAACAACAGCAAGAACAACAAATACTATTTAAACTACTACTACTACTACTACTACTACTACTACTACTACTACTACTTCAACTTCTACTACTACTACTACTACTACTACTACTACTACTACTACTACTACTACCACTTCTACTACCACTAATATTACTACTACTACTACTTCTACTACTACTACTACTACTACTACTATTACTACTACTACTACTACTTACTTCTATACAACATCAACTAGTACTATGATGCTACCGTTGATGTTCACCAGTGATGATTATGATGATGGTTATCATCATCATCGATAACTGTCACTGTCATTGTTATCATCATCTGTTTAGTATAGTTATCATTAATATTATTGCTATCATTATTATTGTGAAGATGATCATCATCGTCATTACAAGAAAATAATAATATCATCATTACTACTACATAAACCGCTAACTACTTCTACCACTACTAATATTACTACCGATAGTTTGTATATATCACGTTTTCACTTACATAATAGGTACATCAGCGTTGCAGGCAGGCTACATATCAATCCGACGGTAGCATAATCTGACTCCAGACGCTCAACCATAGTAGGAATAAGAACACCGAAAGATTTCGCGATGCCGCTATCAAGCAAAAGTACCACGAATTTGCTAACAACAATCACCCAGCCCCAAGACCACTCACTAGAGCCTGCTCTGGCCATTTTGCACAGACAAGGTGTTGTAAAAGTAAGTTCACTATCTTCCTCCTCCTCTTATTCCTTCTCCTCAAACCTCCTTCTCGTCCTCCTCTTCCTTTTTATAGTAGAACCTGCCTTCCCTTTTCTGTACTGATTCCTCTCCAGAGTAACACTTCCATTTGTCCTTCACCTGATTATGAATTTTGCTCTCATTATTTAGTACCACTATTAGTTGGAGGTGCCTTTCGAACCACTGCACAGCACACGCACCCGCACCGCACGACATGTTAAGAGCGATACCGCCAAGGATGATACACGCTCTTGCATATCCATATGCTTGGGGAAACCTATCAATGACCTAAGGGAGCAGCATGCATCCGGTAGTGAAGCCGTATGTCGCGATTGGGTTCATTGAAGAAATCATTTATTTAAATCGTCAAGGACTGTGGGCATGTAGGTCATTGAAAAGCCAACACCTGTAAAGAAACAAACCGATGATATTAGGGACTTGCATTAGATTTGCACGTTGACAGCTTTGTCATATATGCCGCGTGCGCATAAAATATACAGTTCCTCAGGTAGACAAAGAACATCCCTTCCCTGCTATTATGCAAAAATCTGTAGAACAGGTGTCACATGCATATTCACCTGTTCTACACATTTTTACATAATAGCAGGGAAGGGATGTTCTTTTGTTGAGGGTAGAATGAGGAACTGTATATTTTGTCCTCTTTCTTTGTCCGTGATGTTCATAGTGTTACTTCCTGCATGCATGTATATCGTCGAGTGCAATATAAAATATTTCTAATTGTATTCAACATGGGCAGTTAAGTACGTTTACACGCATGATCAGTCGGCGTTCGTCGTGTTCTCGTCCACTCAAAATAAAAGTCTCTAATGACCACTTTAACGGATGCTGCACTCGCTCAGGTCGGCCTGATATTGGCGTTAAATATACGTATATGTATATCTAAACAACTCTATGTTTAATACTAAATATAATACTCATTGCGGTTGTATATACAAACATACATATTGATATTTATATAGCGCCTTTACATAAACATGCTCAAAGCGCTTTACATTTTAAAATAAAAACAGAATAATTATATGCTCTCCAAGTGCATTACACTCTAAAAAAAAATAACAATTACAAAGAAAACAAATGAGTTTTTAGATTTCTCTTACATGATGCGACTGAGGTACAGGAACGAATGCTGTGGGAGACTATTCCAATTAGTGGGACCAGAATTTTTTTATATTGTGTTGACCCTTTTTCGAATTGATGCGGGGGATTATCGAAAATAATATTGCTAGTGATATTCGTTTGTCTACTGACGAAGTGTTGCAGCGGCGCGAGAAACGTCGTGATCCTTCAGATCCCTTGTTGACCATACACCCCCCCCCCCAACTCAGTGTTATTTAGGGTACGCATATGCGCATTCCAAGCCAAAGCCAAAGTCAATACGGGTTGACCTTTTTATTTTGTTACGAGCCGGATAGTTTAGGAACACGCATGGTATCCCTCCGTTCACGGAATGGGGGGGGGGGGGGACCATACATTGCGAGAGTAACGAATATCACTAGCGATATTATTTTCGAAACTCTTTGTATGTTGTCCCTCCAGCTGACA